GTATATATATATGAGGGAATACAATTCATGCTTTCTGCTTTCTGTTATGATGGTTCCGTATACATCCTCGCGCACATATAGATGTCGCCGTAGTTGCTCTTTTCCGCGTATATAGTACTATACGATATGTCTTCGAATTCCAGCCCCATTATGTACACAAATAGGTAACGAAACCAATAGCCAGACAAGGAACAACAAAAGCACTCACTTGCATTCGTAAACGTCTATGTCAAAGTACTGTGCGTATATCTCGTACATGTAAATAGTATGAAAAGCTTCTAACGAGGCATGGTCTTGCTTGTTCTGTGCTAAACTTTCGAGACCTATCATAAGGTAGCTCTTGTTTATCTAGCACAAAGCACGGGTATCGTATCAAATCCTAACACTTTCTGAACTCCATCTCCATAGCAACCACCCGCTCAAGCTTAGAGCACCGGACGAGAAGAGGAATCGGCGCAGCTCTGTATGTACTTTCTATATGTTTCTAATTTTCGCAACCATGTATGAATATGTATATCATCTATAAATCTCACACATGTATAGATACGTATGGCATGTATTCGATTTATACATGTACGTATATAGATATGTATTGTTATCTGTTCCCGAAGGATGCGTACGTCGATGCTGTGCGGCAGACATCTATGTGATGTGCACTGTTCCTCTACACAGAGTGCGTGCGCTAGTCACGAGCTGCGGGATTACCTCTAATTCACATACACCGCACCCGACAGGCTGTAAATGTCCCTATATATATATATATATATCATGTACATAGGTCATAGTCCAAGCCTTGAATGCATCTGACACATCTATGCCACCTGTTCTATTTTTAGATTCTGAAGCCTCCTAATTCGCGCCGGTCGATTGCCCTGGGTGAACTTAACGGCAACACACCAGACGCGCGCGATAGGAAAAAGTATGCGGCGTATCTCCTGTGTGTCTTTCTAGTTGTGTGTTGTGTGCTTTTCCTTTTTCACTAGGGAATGCAAGTGCAGGGTATGTCTACCTACCGTACGTCTACCTACCACTTAGCTACATATAACACATCCACGTTGTATGCAAAGGTACTTTTGCACTAGTTGAGTATCGAAACAGAACGATGGCTGCCTACTTTGCGTACACAGTCGTGTGTGTATAGTACTACGTGCCTGATCTCAACCAGACATACCAGGCGATTGGGATAGTACACTCTCTCCTGTAGAAGATACTCACATGTTTACTACACCAGAGATGAATAGGAATACAATAAAGGATCTCATGGAAACAATAACAACATATAGGAACGTGTATGGTGATGTATGTATCTCCTTGCGTGTCGTGCTTCTCTGTGCCTGTGTGCTATAGATCGCTTCAACTTGATGGTCGTTGCTATGGCAACGATACAGCTTTTAACTGTTCATTCTCTGGATGGGTGTAGAGCTTGATATAGCATGATACCCCACGGACTGGTTGGGTGCTCAGACCATTCAAACATCACTTTATGTCCTTAATATCATACACAGTGTCATTCATATCACACACAGTGTCATACATAACACACACAGTGTCGTATATATCACACACAGTATCGTAAGTCTCAGCTGAATACAACCCTGACTTGAAAACTCACACGCATAAAACTGATTAAACTTGTAAAACTTGCACTCATAAACCCCGTGAATCTATTCTTAAACTCGTTTATGCTTCTGCTTGCGTAGGAAATCTGCCGGACGAAGGGTTAGCTTCGCCCCACAGGATGACTTCTGGTATGCTCTTTTAATAGAACTATTTTTTTAGTGCCTTGTATATATATATATCTTAAAAGCACGTCACACGCACATATCAAGGTTTTAGTTTTCTTGTGATATGTAATATAGGGGGGGTGTGTGACCTAAAGCCCTGTATGGGCGCTTTAACCCTAAATGAATAGGTGATGTAAGATATAGTGGCAGCGTGCACCGTTATAAACCTGATGGAATGGTTTATCTATATTGCAAGCGATTTCAAGTCATTTTACGTTATTATTATTCTTTTATTTTCAAGCCAGAGATCGTCTCGATTGAGATATTTTTTATTTATATACACAGATGTTTACTCAGTGCAATACCCTGCAATGGTTTATATTCTCTCTCTGAGGGTTTTATCATATAAACCTTGCGCCGGAGGGGTATATTCAAAATGGTTTCGTTTATTTTAATATATTTTTCTGCGTTGCAGGATATTCAAAAAAGCCGATGCGCCGTCCAAGACCGATGGGCATGAGGCGGAGAAACTTCGGGTAGGTGCGAGTTTCAATACTTGTAGAATGTACACATGTGTAAGTGTATGAATATATATATATATATA